CACATTCAATGACAACCCAGTGGTTAAGAATGAAGAGACAGCATTGGTCATTTTGGCTAACCTGCTCACTGCATTCCTTTCTGGCTATAAAAGATCACTGACCTTTAGTCAGCATCTCTCATCTGCAGTATGTACCTTTAGAAGCCACAAAGCGTCTTCCCTCCTGGGAGTCTGAATGGATTAATGTGTTTCACTGCTAACCTAAGGTGACCAGATGTCTCGCTTTTGACGGGACAGTCCCTATTTTTAACAATTTTTCCTGTGTCCCGCAGCGTTTTAAAAAGTCCTGATTTTTTGAAAGAATGCATGACAAGCTAGGGCATACCATTTTCGGCTGCCATGTGGCTATTTTACCAGGATATGAGTTTTAGCAATGGTGTCCCGCTTTACCAATGTTAAAATCTGGTCACCTTATGCTAACCAAAATATGGGAGGTTGGAGTCCTCCCAGATATGCCTTGGAAGAAAGGCCTGATAATCTGTCTGGAAACCCTGTTATTAAAACTCTATGAAGCATAGTCCTACCCTGAGTTGGAAACTGAGTGAACTTTTGCTTGGATTTCCCCCCTGCTTTTTCTTTATATATGAAACCCTGATGGCATAGCGGTTAAAGCTTTCAGCTGCTAAATGAAAGGTTGATGGTTCAAACCCACCAGCCACCCTGAGAGGTAAAAAGAAATGTGACGGTCAACTGCCATAAAGGTTTCCTGCCTAGGAAACCCAATGAGGCAGTTCTCGTCTGTCCTAGAGGGTCTCTGTCTGTGAGTCAGAACTGGCCCTGATGGTGACAAGTCTAGGAGCACGGAGACCTGAAGCCTGTAGAAATCTTCTTGCCTTTAATCTGGGTACCGAAAGTGAGTGGTGTCTCACCGTTCAAGTTTCACTGCTGTGTATGCTGCCCCGGGCTATTCAGGAAGCCTGCATTTCTCTCTCTCTCTCTCTCTCTCTCTCTCTCTCTCTCTCTCTCTCTCTCGCTGCTGGCTAAGGGCCCAGATGGAAAGGGTCTCCAGCTTCCACTACACACACATCATGAAAATGCGTGAATTCCCTCAAGTCTTGCTCTGAGAATAACCAAGAGAGCAAGCAGACCTCCTCCCCAGGCAAGGCCATAGGACAGTGGGCTGTGGCTGAATGACCCCAGGAAAGAGGGCCTAAAATGATCTGGGA